TCATGGGGAGGCTCGCATGTGAAATTCATCGCCGGCCAGAAATCGGTGTGCACGCGCTGCCGCAAATCTCCGTCAAAACACAAGCTGCAATGAGACGTTTGGGAAGTCCGTATCTTTTCACGCGATAACGATATCACTCGGCAACATCGTCCGCATCGGACAAGAGGAGGAGGAGAAAAAAGAAGGAGTGTCGCGCGCAAAATCTCGCGATGCGGAATGAAACGTGACTCGCCTACTCGTTCTTACGTGGACCTTTGCACCCTTTGATGCATCCTTTCCCCTCCTGCCTCCCGTCTTCCTGCTCTCCCGGTCCGCATCCCATCTCTTCAGTTCCAGCTTTACCATCCGCTCGGCTTTTGCCTCCTTTAACCCCTAATTCGACATGGAGGATTTACCGTAGCGTGTGTGCCATTAACCCAAATAATTTTCAGTTCAAGAGTCTCTACGTCGAATGTCCCTCCACCTATATTTCCCTTGCCGTCCGTCTCTCCCTCTCTCTCTCTCTCTCTCTCTCTCTCTCTCTCGTATTATATATATATATTTTTTTCTCTTTCTGTTTTATTTTCTATGCCCTTTGCGAGCGATCAGTGCCGCATTAGCCCGACAAAAAACTCAAACCGAGCGCCCAGCGTCGGTTGAGCGTCAACAAGCGCTGGAAAAGGGAAAATCCCAGAGAACATGCCAACGAATAAACAAATTACACATAATTATCGTAGTTGCAAGTATTGTTACCAGTTCGCGCGCAGAAGTTTGAGAATTTCTTGGTCGATGAATATTTCAGAATCTCTGAATAAAGCTCACGTTAATTAGACACGTCTAAGGCGTCTTAACTACTTTAGCTACGGCTGACCTGAACACTGAGCTCTACTACTGCATGCACCGCTTTGTCGCTAAACGCCCGCGCGTTCGTTACTTCACTCACTGTGCAATTCATTGTTTCTTGGTATTAGTAGTACCTTAGTACTACTGCGCAACGGCTAATGAATGAACGAAATTTGCACTTGCAGTGTCAAGGTGAAGTGAAGAAACTCGCGGCTGCACGGACAGCAAGAAATGTCCATTCATGCAACTGAATGAAGAGTGAGAATCCGTGACGAGGAGCAACATCTCCGTTACCGCCGGCGTAACTCAAGCGTGTCTACAGATAACTGATAACGATTGACTGATTAGAAACCTCCCCGCAGGAATCTTTCCGCCCCTGTACGAGCTAGTCTTCCTCTCGAACCCTATTTCCCCAAGCGGAACGGGAGATTCAGTTACACTAATGGAATTGTTTTTTCCCGCGTAGCAACGACAAGCAATCCACCGTGGTCTCGATGAAAGTTTCAGCAGAGGGCCGCCGTAGTGGCATTTTGTCCTAAACGATTGCTCAGCGGTAAGCGGCCGTAGCGGCGATTGTAGTATTCAAAGGGCTAGGCTATTCTCGTCTTGTCTCGTTGATTTCGCCCGCAAAGTCGACACGCAACACGACCGAGCGTGATCCCGCGCGTCGTCGTCGTCGAGCAGAATAAATTCGATCACTCGTCGCATCATCATCGAGCGCACCGAACTACGTCAGCGGTTACTTCGAGACGAATTATCGGTATGTGTGTCTGTGTGTGTGTGCGCGCGCGCGCACGGGAAAGTCCGTTAAGTGTTCCCGTGTAAACGCTCGAGTTCGAAAGTCAATTGGTCGGGTTTCGCGCAAAGTTTCTCCGCGTTGCCTCCGACGGGAAAGGGAGGAGAGGAAAGAGTCGAGTGAGTCTCTCTCGCCTCTCGATCGCTCGCCGGATATCGTGCGCGATCGATTTTCCGGAGTTAACGAAAGATCCACGACGAGTGGAAGGAAGCCGTGCGACCTGCTCGCCGCAGCAACGACGAGAGTTTTCCCATGTTATCTGCGCAATCTGTTGTCGGGGTGTATGCGCGGCAGTTTAAATTAGAAAGCCACGGACAAAATAGGATATCGCGTCGGGGGGGGGGGGGAGAGCGATTGCGCGTCGGTCTTACGAGAACGTGTGTGCGCTCCGTGAGGGCACTCCGGAGAAAATTTCTTCTCTCCGCGATACAATAAGCGGATTCGCGGTCGGTTCGTTGCACGAATATTCCGCCGTTTATTCTTACAATCATGATCCGAAACAACAAGCTCGAAAACTATTAACGAGATTTCTTGGCGTACTATTCTCTTTTATTCTTCTCTCTGCGAACATCAATAATGCAACGTGCTCGATATGAAAGTTCGGGGAATATCCGAAATATCGCTTTCCAATTCTAATCTGGGAAGCAATACACTCCGATCTCGTATATCCCGAATCGCTCGTACATTCTAGAGAGCATATTTCTAATGACCAGAATGCCGCGTTGCTTAAATATCCATGATTTTTATAATCGAGGCTTTCTCTAGCTGGAGAGATATAACGTCATAGTTGCAAAAATAGTTGAGCAAATACTAAAGTATTAAAGTCGCGCAGCGCTATTATCAAACAGCGCGCACGCTCTTACTCTTGTTATCATCACCGCGTGAGATTACTTTTACTTTTAATTCGACATTTATATTCCTATTTTATCGCGACGAAGATATATATCGGGCCCGTCCGTCGGCTCGGACAGAAATTACTCGGGGTCCTTTTCGATCTTGCCGAGTTATTATGCAGAATTTATAACGGCATATGCGCGAGATCGTGACACATTTCGCCCGTTACGTCACACGCGGCGCAGCTAAAAATCGGCGAGTTCGTATATCCCCTCCCGCCGTGTGAATTAGCATACTCCGCGTGAGTAGCAGCCGTTAATTATTCGCGTATTAAAATTTCGATATGTATCGCATCGTTAATGTCTTCCAATTACCGCGGATTATTGGGAACACGGAGGAGCAGGCGTGTGCTTGCGCGCGCGCGCGCGCGCGCGCACGAAAATATTGCGGGGTATCGGAAGTACGACGGGGGAGAGGGAGGAGAAGGGAGAGTATCGGGGTTTGCGTATTTTAATATTTATTGACGGGCTATTGGGGCGGGCCCCAGATGTAGGTCAGTGTGCTTGGTAAAACGCCGATATTTGATAGGGCGTCATTAATCCTCCGCGCGGAGGAGATTTACGCGAGCGGGAAGGCGAGGCGGGAATTCACTGAGATTAATTAATAATATTTGCAGAGCAGTCGTCACACACGTTTACAGTGCGCCCACAATGGCCCCATTAATGCGCTCGCAAATCCCGCGCGTAGGCGCGCGCGCGCCCGCCGCGGATTCACGTCCGCCTCATTCACACGCTTTAAGCATCCCGACGCGCGCGAGCGTACGCGCCGAGCGTCCCACTTTTCGCCGCGCAAGCGCGTTTACACCGTAACTTGCTTTTACATTACATCGTGCGAAAGTATTGTACATTCGATGCACTCAGTTTTCGTTGCTCTCGATGGTTGAAATTAGAATATGTCAATATTCATCTCGGGTCCCCCCCTCTCTCTCTCTCTCTCTCTCTCTCTTGGGACTTTTCATCCACATTTCAGCCGCGCTTTCGTTTATATTTGCGTCATCGCTTTAAATCAAGATACGTAGGCTCTTATAATGGGGAGGGAGGAAATGCAATTGGCAATCTGCTATAATTTATTCAGCGATATTATTCCGTTCGTTATCGACCTATTATTATGTGCCAAGACGAATTTAATGATTAATAAACTTCAGCAGAAACATTTCAGCGAAAATCCTGCATCCCGCTCTCGTTGACCCGTTTGTTTCTCTTTTTGATAATCATATCCTCATCAAGGATATATTAAGAAATGTTATAAGAGGCTTTTATATTTATAAGGAAATTATCCACGATGTTTCACTGTTGAACCAGTCAAAAGTTCGTTTCGATTTATATGAATTCTAATTTAACTTCATCGTGCCCGCTCGATAGAAAGAAATAATTCGTCAATTGAGTAATCACCATCTTTTATCTATATTTTGTCATGTGATGTTTGTCAAAAATCGGCTCGAACTTTCGGACTGACGTAATGAAATCCGCAACACTCATGTCCGCGACGCGTCTCCGACATAAAGGTGGCCAGATGTCGTCCCGGATATTATTGGATATTAAACTTAATTTTAAAGGATTTACAAAAGATGGCGCAATGATCACCTAATGGCATCGGCCTATACTGAAGCCAACTTCGTACGAAAGCCCTGTCATTAGGCTTTAAGAATCAATATATTTCATTTGGTCGAAGTGTAAATAACATATTTTTTTAGCGCATTCAATATGTCGAGTTTTGTGCCAACGAAACGCAATTTGCGGGAAGCGTTACCTTTTTGTTCCCATTTGAAAAAATCGGCAGCTGAAAGTCTTCGTTTGCTGTCCGAAGCTTATGGGAAATATGCTCCATCGATCTCAACTTGTGACTATTGGTTTAGACGATTCAAAAGTGGAGATTTTCCACTTGTCCATCGTAATCCGAAGGTAATGCTCTGTATTTGGTGGGATCAAAAGGATGTGGTTTATTATGAGCTGTTAAAACCTGGCGAAACCATTACTGGGGACCGTTATCGACAATTAGTACAGCTGAACCGAGAATTGAAAGAAAAACGACCAAAATACGCCAAAAGACACGACAAAGTGATTTTCCAGCATGACAACGCTCGGCCACATGTCGCTGAACCGATGAAGGAAAGCAGCTAGAGCTGCTCGGATAGGATGTTCTACCCCCCCCTCCCCCCGCCGTATTCACCAGACTTGCTCCTTCCGATTTCCACTTGTTTCGATCCGTGCAGAATCACCTTTCTGCCCAGCACTTCAGTTCTTTAGAAGATACAAAAAAATGGCTCGACTCACGGATAACCACAAAAGACGAGTCGTTCTTCCGCCGAGGAATCCGCCTTTTACTAGAAAGATGGGAACAAGTTGTAGCTAACGATGGACAATACTTTGAATAACATGTACTTATCACTTTCGAAATAAACGTTCAGTTTCACAAAAAAATCCTCTAAAATTAAGTTTAATACCCAATAATATAACCGCGTCCTCATTATCTCATTATATTGTTTCAGGGACGCCTGCTTCGACTCCTGGACGCAACTGCGGCTGTCACCGATGTTCGGCTGCATATGCCCGAACAACAGTAACAGGCGGCGATGCGACAAGATCTTCACGACGGTGAACCACAATCCCTGCGTTGGTGAGTCCGATCACGACACGCGATGCGTAAAGTTCTATCTTTCTTTCTCTCTCTATCCATCTATCCATGTGTTCGTACGTATTTTCGTCGTGCACGTAATTGCGTGATGTGACGCGCCGAACGCGCGTCGTATACACCTCGGCCGTTTTCATCCGGCAATTTTGCGATTTCATCGTAAAATTAACTAGCTCATATTCGTGCTGTCGGGCTGTGTTTTAAGCGAGCGCTAAAGTCCTCGCGTTCTTTCCTCGAGGAGAAATTTTCCACGAGGGGCGCGATAAATGCGCCCCTCGCGCGAGCTTTATCGCTTCGGCCGTTGGAATGAAACGCGATTGTGCAAACGGTGAACAAACAGTTTGACGTTTGTCGATAAATTTTTATGAACGCGGTTTGACGATCTTCGCTCACAAACACATGTAAATACGTGCACGGGATATCGTTTGACGAGTTTTATCGTGAATTGGGATTCGAGCAGGCTCTGTTGTGACATGAATGAACGAGTTATACTAGCATCCTGTGAAAGGCGACTGTCGGTGTTGTAAAGTAATTTTGGATACCTATTGAGGAGACTTCTATCTATCGTGTCGTACATTGAGATACGGAGTTGACCCTTTGCGTGTCTGTTTTTCTGTGTGTGTGTGTGTGTGTATATATATATATATTTATATATCTTGTACAGAGTTCTCATATTTGGTTCCTTTCTGTCGATGTATTTATGCATTTGAGCGCGTTCTCGTCGATCCTGGATCGCGGCGATCACGATCGCGACAGACCCAAAATGACGGAAATACCAACCCGCAGCTTCCATGGAAGCAATAAAATTCCGCAGCCCTCCCCCCTGCCGTCATATTCTTACACATACAATTCAAATATTTTTTAAGGCATTCTTTAGAAATTTAACGAACGAATTTAATGTTCATCTTCGCGTCACATTTGCATTTCTCGTGCCGCATCGTTCGCTTCTCCACAATTACACGTGAACGAGTCTTGCTCGCTAACGGCTTTATCCGTGAGATAAATCTCTCGATATAAACGAGTAAATAAATGTAATACGCGGAAGAACTCGCTGAAATCCTCAGCAGCAACCGCGACGACGATCGGACGTTCGTGCACGCGTAATCTCGACGTAATCCCTCGAATTCGCGAGACAAAGCGTCGGGTCTATCATCGTCGAGACGCTCTCGGCCGAGCAGCCCCGTTTTTCTCTCAGCGTCTCTTTCTCTCTCTCTCTCTCTCTCTCTCTCTCTCTCTCTCTCTCTCTGTTTCTCCCGGTTTAGAGGGAACCTTCGGCTAAAAACTGACGCGCGCTAAATTGAAGCCACTCGCCGTTACTGTCTCATTTTTTCCCCGGCGTCAAAGTCGCCGGCGGAGCGGGATGCTGCTCGACGGGGCAATTACTTTTAAACGATACCGCGGTGTTTAAGTCTCGTCGGAAAACATTATCCTCACCCTCGGATAAGCTACTTTCTTCGTAATTAACCGAGGAGGGAGAGAGAACGAGTTCTCGCGGGCGGCGAGATGAAGATAACCGCGAGTTCTAACCTCGGTTAATAATTAATAATTTAAACCGCGTTTACACGGCTGCCGCTGTTTAGAGACGAGGAATTTCTTTCCGAGACGGTCGCGTAATTTCGCCGGCGGATCTCTTCGCGGTTAATCACGACGGCGGAAGCTTCGCAAACTTACCAGCTTAATCGCAGCATCACGTCAACAGCGCACGACGCGTCCAATCCAGACCTCGTCGGGGAATCAATCGTTGCGAGATGCAATCGCGTCGGAAACTCGTCCGTTGACTTTTTCCCGGACGGCACGTTATTGTTACGGAAAAAAATCTCTACATTCCCCTCACGTTCCCGTCGTAAGTCACTCTTCATCCGATTAGCGCGGCATCGACCTACAGTTCGTCCAGGATCGGCGAGGCTCCTCCGTTCATGCCTCGCAATCGTAATTTTAAGGCAATATTAAGACTCGAGCGTGCAACGCGCACGCGCAATACGTAAGTACACTTACACGCATCACACACGCATGTGTGACAAATGTGTCTCTTGCGTTGCGTTTGAAACGAATGAATCACGCCGGCGGTTGTGCATATGTACCAGCGATGAATGCGGCATATACGTACACACAAGCAAAATACACACAAGATACACACACACACACACACACACACACATACACACACAAACGACAGCACTAACAGTTGTGGAATGCGTGACCGGTCGAGAACAGTTTTCAGCACGGCAACATAAACGAACAACTAATTATTACGGTAACGACGTTATAACGCAATTAGCATCGACGCTACGGACATAATGCGCAAACGAACACAATTCAGTTTGGCTGCCGGCGTATAACGAACTACTTCACTTCGCGCAGAGAGAGCGAAGGAATTCCGCGTCCCTTCTCGCCGCGGAATTTCGGATTAATTTCAAACGGTGTCGTACGTCGCGTCGAGTGATTCGACGTTTGCTCGCTTCGACGATGATTTCTCTTTTCTTGTGTGTTTTTTTTTCTCCACGAGCTGGCCGCGTTTCCGTGACCTGGAAAAATCATCGCCCGTCTAAATAACACCGAGATTCGTGCGCCGCGCCGGGTCGATGGGTCGGATTCTAAACCGAGAATCGCTCGTCGTGCTCAAACTTTCATCTCGCCATCGAGAATTTCGACATTCGTTCCTATTATCGCTCGCCTTATCGTCAACCTGCCAATTCGCTCGCGCGAGATAATTCGACGGCGGCAGAATTACACCTCGACAAATTGGCCGGATTCGACCTGACTGGCGGGAAGAGTTGCACTCTCAAAATTGGAGAACGTTCTCGGCACAAGCGTTCAACCGCAAGCCAACTCGCCAGCTCCGAGCATACTTATTCGAGTGTACTCCCCCTCGCTCGGCAATTTTTCGCGCATCTTTCCGCACAGCTGCAAGCTCCGAGCTAAGCAAGATGCTCGAACGTCACGAACTGACGATTCGATACCGAACGATTCACCCGGTATATGGAGCAGCTTCTTGAATTGAGATTGGAAGCGCGACTTTAAATGGGCCAGCCCTTCGCCACCCTCCCGTGTTCTTCTTTCCCCGAGATATCGTACGACCAGACCGTAGGTGTATGAATAGCAATGAAGGTTAGAGGAGGGTCGCGGGAGGGAGGACAAGAGAACGCCGCTCTCGGGGACGAAATTTATTTAAACGCTCCAACTGCTCCTCCGCGATCGAATTAAATTACGCTCCACTGTGCTTGCAAAACGCGATCGAATCGTCGACGCGGGAAATATTCCGCGAGATCGCGCGGCCGCGTCGCGACTTCTCGCGACTCGATCCGGAAGTGTCGCGCGAGATCGATACGAACAGCCTTCCCGTGATTATAGCGACTTAACGACCACCCTCGCCTGAATAATAGATGACGATTCGTGACATCACTTAATCGCTGTTTAATCGTGCGCTATTAATAATTGCGCAAACGACCGAGCGCGAGACGAACCGTCCGTGGAACGTGACGTATCCGGCTCGATACGCAAACGCTTGTCTTTGTTTAATATACAGTGACGCAACAATTCGCGGCGCGAGCTGACTAATTAAACTTATGCGGATTGTATGCGACGTTGCGTTGAGACGGAGCGCCAAGTTTCTTTCTTGGATATCACTTGGCGCATTTCTTGCCTGTCGATGCGCGTAAGGTGAAGAGTTGACCTGATGCGTGCAGACGACACTAGGAAAAAAAATTTAGCATCTCTAACAAAACTGTCTAGTTGAGGCATTTTTTAATAGCAACCAAATATCTTGTTTTATATAACAAAATATTTAGTTGCCTCAACTAAATATATTTTTCTGCTTTGTTCTCTGGACCAAACAATTTTGTTCTTAGACTTCATATATAAAAATTAAGCATTTTAGTTATTTTATCCATAAAAATTACATAAAATACGAAATATTATTTTACATAAACTAAAATAATGCCCAATGGATACCATTTTGTCTTTCTGTGCACTAAAATTTAGATTTTATATATTAAGAAAAAATTATAGTATTTTTAACAAAATTCATATAGTTAAAGCTATAGCCGGTGGCTATAACAAAAGTATTACGTTATACGAACAAACCGTAATCAAACAAGATATTTGTTTACAGGAACTAAACAGTTTTGTTGGGCATATTTTAACCATATTATTTTATTGTTACAACAAAATTTTGGTTCACGCAACAATACATTTTTCCTAGTGCGCACACACACACACACACAGTTACAGCAGCAACCATGAGCACTTTTAACGAGTTGTGCAACAAACTATACCTCTCACGCGTTTTGACGCGCATCACGCGTAAGAACAAAACCGTCCGCAGGCATCCACGTGCCTGATCTAACGACAAGACCCTCAGCCGTTTATGCGTTGTTTGACGTTACGCTCACGGGAGAGAGCAAACCGTATCCCCAGTAGGGATCCACTTCGAGATTCCTATGAGATTCACGCCGTAATCGTCGCTCGATCGTTAACACGATGAATGAATAACGTTCCGAAAGTGCAGTTTACAGCCCGAGTAACGCGAGGTAGCGACACGACGGCTGACACGTCCCCGTCGATCAAGAGTTGACAAGAACACTGCTGTGCGGCAGATATTTCCGCGATGACGTATCAAGCGCGAAAATTCGCGCGGGGGCGAGGAAGACAGAGAGGTGGCATTCGATCATCCTCTCCGCGACTTCCGTCATGTTTCTCTTCAAACGCTACCAAGGAAGCGCTTTCCGCCGCTTCTTGCTTACCGCCGGACAGGACCGGAGGGAGGGAGGGAAGGAAGAAGGGAGGGGTCTATTACACCTCACGTTACTCATCCGGGCTTAATAAAAAGAAGCACGCCGGAACAGCAGCACGAGACACTCGGAATCGAATGGCTCGAGACACTCGATCGGTGCTCGACGAGGGGCTCAACGAGAAGGGTCCTCCTCTTCTTGTTCTCCTTCCTCGTCTCTCCTCTTCCCACCGCCGGCTCCTTCTCGCTCCGGCCCGGGTCTTACGAGAGGAAGATGTCCGTCCCAAGCGGAGCGGAGTACCCAAGAAGCGTGGATCGATCCTCGAAATCCCGGAACGCATGAGAGAAACGTCTCTCTGCACGAGACCGAGAGAGAGAGAGAGAGAGAGAGAGGGAAAGAGAGAGAGAGGAGAGAAAGAAAGAGAGAGAGAGAGCGAGAGCACCACGACACCCCCTACGAGTACGCACTCCGCCGGGCGGATTCGCGTTTCGAGACCAATAACTTCGCCGTCCTCGGAGGCCTCCTCCACGAGTGTCTCTCGTCTCATCCGTCCGCAATCACACGTACATACACGCACGCACACACACACACACACACACACACACACACACACACACACACACACACACACACACACACACACACACATGCACACAAATATACACATATATATGTATACATTTTCAGAAGCGGCTCCTATGCGCCATGAATATTTCGACGCAGCAGCGCGATCGCTCCTCTTCGACAAACGATCGCGAGATAAATCGACGAGACGCGGGGAATGCGACGGGGAGGAGGGGCGCGGTGACGGAGCGGCGCCGTGGGAATCGCGATGCTCGCGATTGTGCGCGGCTCTCAGCTCGTAGGCGGACTCGCTCCTCGTTTTAATATTAACGGCCACGGCGTGTCCTGTCAAACGGACAGAGTCGTGCGCGCGCGTTTCTCCTCTCCCTTAATCCCCAAGAATAATCTCCCTCGGCGCGAGGGAACAGAGGCAGGCGCCGCTGTCGATCGATCGCGCTCGCCGTGAACGGTATTTACTCGCGCCAGCGCCGGGAAGAAGATAATACACGACACGGCGCGCGGTGACGCGTCCAAAGTTGGCCGTCGCTCTCTCGCGGCTCGTCGCGATAAAACGGCTGACAGAGGAGACTCGATCGTCCGTTCACTCACTCATTCGTTCGCTCGCCCGCTCGCTCGCTCACTCACATCGACACCCGCAATTCCCCTTTGCCGTCGTAAATCCGCCGCGACGAATCGCGCGACGTCGCGCAATCGGCCGAGATTGCTCGCGCCGTAAAATATGAAACGCAGGCGCGCGCCAACGCGCGTTGACGGATGAAGCGCGGGACCAAGGTGGCGGCGACGAGAGCCGCCTTCCCCCGCCGCCCCCGGACGACCCCGCGGGGCGGAGTGCGTCCGGGAATCCGTGCACCGCATGCTTTGTACTTTCGCATGTGCCTCGCTCGCTCGAGAGAGCGCATCGGCCGGCCGCGTATGCATGCACTTACTGCTTGTTTTCTATTTTCGAGTGTGTAGCCTTTAGTCAGTGTTGTGTAGCGCCTACTACGACTCTGTCTACTCTCTGTACTCGACTCACTATACTCTCTCCCCTTCGTCCCTCACCGGCGATCGGCGATTTGCCGGGGCACCGTCGTGGTCGTTATCGGCGCGCCGCTGACGGCGGGTCAATCGTCCGAGAGCGATTAAGGTGAATCCGAGGACGATTAATTCCCGCGATGTAAACGCGATCCCGTCGTTAAGCCCGCGTTTCCGCGTACCGAATTCCAAAAGGAGGAGCGCGAGTGTCGGCGGAAGTGGCAGTCGGATGAGGACCCTCCACGTGTGGAATCTCGCGAGAAATTCTACGCCGCGTTCACGTGTTCTCTCCCGTCCTGGAAATGCGGCATCGACACCGGCGCGGCGCGCGAAATCAGATCGAGTATTTCATTCCGAGCGCGAGTGTTCGGAATTCTCTAGCTCGACTTCGAGTATTTAAAGCGATCGATGTGTATATAAATACACATATATTCTACGTTGAAAGTTTAAATACTTTAGAGTACAAAAGAGTAAAGGAACGATCAGAATTTCCAGAATCAATCTGCGTGTTCCGATCTGCTACTTTTGTTTTTTTTTGTTTTTTTTTTCACTTTCCTCAACCCGATCGCGCGAAGTGAATTCATCAAACTCGCGGCGGAGAATCTCCGTTCGCCTCCAATTACGGGGTAAAAGGCACGGCACTCGCGAGATGTGCGACGGTCGAAAGAAAAATGCGCAATTAAGGGAGAGGGCGGGAACGCGCGCGGGGCTGGAAACGGCACGCACGGCGCGGGCAATTTATTCCGGGTCCCCATTTCATTCGCGAACGATCGACGCGGAACAGAAGGTTAACCCTCCTCCTCCTCCTGGTCGATGTGCCGCGACGATCCCACGAGAGAATCCCGAAATCTCTTAAGAACGAAATCACGCTCGATGGGCACCGCCGTCGCACCGCTCCGGGAATAATTTCTCGCGGGCTCGCAGCGCCCGGGACGCCGCCCGGATCCCCCGGCTTTGAATGGGAGTTTTAGCTTTCGCGAAGTTCTCGCAGCCGAGGCCAAAGTGCCTTCTCGAGAGAAGAGGCGACGCGAGGTCGTCCGTCGATTTCGATTACCGGCCGGTTCGTTTAGCCTCGCCTTCCAGCCGGCTTTTTATTTCGAATCGTTGTGCCGTCCTGCTCCTCGGCGAGAGCACGCGCAAATATACCGAGGTCGCCGCCGGCGAGGACATTCAGGTGCTGCAGAACGACATTCGCGGCTCGTTGGTGACACGCTCCGAGTAATTTGCGATCGGTTAATTGCGCCTTTGACGCGCGGTCGCGCTGCTGAGAGAGCGTGAAGAGCGTAGCAATAAAAATACGCTTCTCTGAAGAATTTTTTCCACGATTTCTTTGTTTTCCGCTCGAGATACTCAAAGCGCGCCTTGATACAAGAGACTACCTTTTTCGCCGAAATCGTCGCCTCGAGAAAGTGGTCTTCGCTGTGAAATGTGCTGATAATTTGCCGCGTCTCTTTTCTCGCACGCACGTGTTTCTTGCGTATTGTGTAACGCGCGGTTGGCGATGGAAAATTGTTTCGTTTTGCATCCGGCGGCAGCGACAAATCGATTTCGCAGCTTGTTATGAGCGCGTCATCGCGGACGAGAGCTCGCTCGAAACAGCTTGAATGCCGATCAAGATATCAAAAGCGTTGCAAGTGCGTCGTGATGAAGCGCGGAATTTTTCAATTGCCAGTTAAAAAGATCGCCGGCAATTGCGAGTTAATTTAACGGGTTATTTACGGGTGCTGCGAGCGGCCGCTTGCAAATATATTCACGTTTGATATTTATTTCAAGAGCAATTGGATGACGTTTCCGGGCAACGCGACAAAGCATTGTTCGTTAGTTATTTTCTCTGCAGCGCGATCCAATTTATCCCCGGGTGTGTCTTCTCTTTTATAATTATCCTTTCTCGCGCAACACGATTTCCGTGTGCAAACGCATCTCGCGCGTGTTAATATGTGTGTGTGTGTGTGTGTTCACACCTCTTTCTCCACGTCTCATTCGTGATTCGAATCACGAATCATTGAAAAAAAAAATGAGGGGTACAAAAAAAAGAACATTTTCTTTTTAGCATAAAATTGTCCACGAATAAAAGAACGTTTCACCGGTTAGTTACAATCGGAATCAAATACTCGATCTCTCGAGCGTCCAATGCTGATCGACAATATTTCGCGTCCGAAACATCCCCACTGTCTTCCGGAGCAGACTCGGTCCCTGTGAATGCCAGAGTCTCTTGCGCGAACGCATCCGGCGCCGGTGATTCCAGCGTTCCGAACTTATCTCGCAGCACGAGATGTCGCGTGAGAACGCGACGCGATTTTCCCTTTCCGCAATTTTCCCCGGGCGTAGCCAGCCCTCCGCAATCATCCTCGCCCACGATGATCGACACACGCGATTATTTATCCCCAGCGGGTACAAACCCGCTACATCAATCCCCTGCGCGATCGGACCGAGATCTCCTCTCCGTCGACAATCCTCCGTCAACGTCCGTTATTCCCGTGCACCGCAGACTATCTTCACTACCGCCACCACTACTGTCACCACCACTATCAGCAACATCACTACTATCACCACCACCACCACCACCACCACCACCACCACCACTACCACCAATTGTCTCAGCATCACCGTCACCGTCACGACACTCGACCCTACAACAACAGCACGCAGACCCCGCACGTTGCGTAACCGATGGCAAACGCGCACCCTCACTCACCCCATTCTCGTCCGCGGCTCTGCTTCTGTGTTACAGAGTTCCTGCCCTCCTCCACCTCCGTAGACCTGTCGGGCACGGACTCGGCCCTGTACCCGTTCGACCCGCAGCAGGAGAACTACCAGGAGATCTGGTTGCCGCCGACCAGTATGTACCCCTATTTTCTGTTCCCCGGGACCGCGCGCACCCCGCCGTACTACGATCCCGAGAGCACGTACGACATACGGGAGCCCGGCGAACAACATCGCCACCGTCACGGCCATCGGCATCATCACGGTCACCAGGAGGCGCCGGAACTACCTGGCAGACCGGCCGTCCTCGTCGTCGAGGCGTACGATCCTCGGCCCGATTCGGATCGGTACGACACCGACGTGAATCGGTTCGAGGATCGCTTGGCGACCTCGCGTCCAGCCGCTAGTCATCCGGATCGGTCGACGGATGGATCTTCTTCCTCCTTCTCCTCCTCTTCTTCTTCTGCTTCCTCCTCCTCGTCCTCTTCTTCTTCTTCTTCTTCTTCTTCTTCTTCTTCTTCGTCTTCGTTGTCCAAGCATGACCACCGCGCCTCCAGCACAGTGCACCTGCCGCCCCAAAGCGAGCATGACGCACACCCGCACCAGTATCGGCACCAACACCACCACCACCACCACCACCACCATCACCAACAGCACCAGCACCAGCACCAGCACCATCGTCAGCACCCCGCACTACCCGCACCGCCGTCCGTCGTCGCGACGCTGTCGTCGTCGTCGGCGGGCTCGTACGCGCCGGCGGCCGCTCGTCCCACGCCAACCGCGCAGGACGAGCCGTTGGGGCCCGGCTCCGGCCACGCCGAGGCACCCCGGCTGCCGGCTCAGAGGAAGTTCGCGCCCAGGCCCACCTACGAGCACCGCGCGATCTTCGACCGCGCCGACGACGACCTCGACGACATCGACGAGTTCAGGATCGGCGCGCTGCCCGTCGATAGGCTCTTCGATCTCCGCGATGCCTTCGAAGGGTTCGTCGACCAAGGTTCGTACCGGGTTCACCGGCGCGTGCTTGGAGAAAGAGCGGCTCACGCGCCCAACTCTCAGCTCGCGCCTGGGCTCTCTCGAAGGGCGCTGGAACCTTCTGCCCCCCTGCCCCGCTGCTCCTCGAGTGACACGCCACCCGGGCACTGCGATGGGCGCGGTATCTCGATGTCCGTGCTGATGTGAAAAACACGGACCAGAGCGAGGCATTTCCGGGGGACTTTGGCGCGAAGGACCTGCTGCACTCTCGCGATCTCAGTCGGTCTTGGGGTGTCGAACTTCGGGGTTGTCGATCGGTTGAGTAGATGTAGTGCTCGAGTCTCGCGTCGGGTTGCGGGACGATCTTTTCGCAGAAGCTCGGCTCTACGTCGCTGGGAACGTTGCCGTTCCCGCGGTCATTTTTGCACAACCGGTGTCGAAGATGAAGCTACATGTTTCAGATGTGTAATGCACTTGTCCCCCCTCATCTATGTCCCAGCGTGATCTGTCCTGATAATTTGTTCAGCCACTGAAGGAACTGATTGTTCGTGTGCGGCGTGTTGCGATTCCGTACAGGTAAATTGTCAGCATGTGGCGCTCCGCGCCATTTTGGCGGCGAGCCTTGACGTCTCTTTAGCGGGAGCGAATCCGTTCCGAGTACAACAGCAGGCAGATCACGGATATCGAGAGCGCAGGTCAACCAGATCTGATGTATTCTTTGTTATAATCTTTAGCCGACTGCGAATCTCCTCTCTGTTGACATTTCAGAGAGAATTCTTCGCCTTGGCGAGAGAAGTTTCATTCGCCGAGATTCGATGTCTCGTCTAATGAATAACAGCGCGCGGCGATGTCTCGAAGGGTTGATGAAACTTCAGGAGTCGAGGAATTACTAACGAGTCGACAGGAACATCAATGTGTTTATTAATATTCTTTGCAAAGGAAAAAGCAGGAGTGGTATAAAAAATTTCAGTGATTGCGTCTCGACCGTGTGTTAAGTCGTCCACGGGATTCCTAAACCATAAGTTGCCTAATTGACTTCTTTTTCGCTTGTACAAGTTAAAAAGCCGAGTGCACTTTGTTGCAGCGAGAGAAAGAGAGAGAGAGAGAGAGAGAGAGAGAGAGAGAGAGAGAGAGAGAGAGAGAGAAAGAGAGAGAGCAAGAGTGAGAGACGCGACTGCCGGCAGTTGCTTCTTTGCTTATTTCTTCATTCAACGGAAAAGAAATCTCATTCAACGTGCCTGAGTGCACTTAAGACGGGTCAGAAAGTCGCGATTAATCATTTCTCGCACTCCGATGCGACTGCAGCTGCCGTGTAGGCGCGGCAAAGGGGGAACGGGGGAAAGCTTTCAATTCCGTCGCATTAATTTCTCATGCCCCCTCCTCGTCTTCCGCGTCGCACTACGCGCTTCGTAGCGCGCGCGTTCTCGCAGCTAAACTCACGCCGGTTATAAATATTTTCGCGAACTTTCCGACGGGGACGCTCTCTCGCAATTTCGCCAGGAAGTTTCTCGCGCGTGATCTCGCTCGCGCAAATGCAGTCGCGCTCAATTTCAGATCCGCACGCGGTGATCGCCGCTGTGTCCTTCGGAGTCGCGCGCGATCCTTCTTGCGCCCAGCCGCTTGCGAGGCGGAGGTCGCAAGGGGAATCCTGCCGAAGATACCTTCCGCGAGAATGTTGGGCCCTACACCCAAAGATCGCACTTTCTGCCAAACTTGTTACGCCCAGTCGTTTACAGTGAAGGTCATCGCCCATCCCGACAACTCCACCAGCTTCGAGGTGATCGAGTCGCAATTGGAGAATCCGCTGATCCACGTCGACCGGCAGGACCTGCTTGACATGAAACAGCCCCCCTCCCCGGACGGCCATCATCATCGCAGTCACCACAAGAGGAACCACACCGACGACTTTGAACGTAAGTCTCGTCCTTTTTTCACTAAATAAATAATCGTCCACGATGAAATATATCATGAATGCGAATATACATATATCGATAGGCAATTGTTTTATTCTTAATGTGCATTTTACAAAGAAAGCGGCGAAGGGCAGCAATTTCAATTTTACCGCGCTCATTGCGCGGAATGGATATTTTTTTTTTATCAAGTACACGTTTGGAGTACAAAAACGGATTGAATTCCCTTAAATTCTCGACGCTCGACGCGAGCGACCTCGCGCGAAATAACGCGTGCCGTCGGAATTCCGCGGCGACGATCGCTTCTCTCGATATTCCAACGCGAATTGCCGCGCAATCAGCGCGGGTGCAATAAAGCGCGCAATGCGTGTTCATAAATTTTTCCACCAAGATGATCTTTCTCGCCAGCGTCGGCGGTTCAAGTTGAAAGCGTCACGACGTCACTAGCAACCGCACGTCATAGAAAATTCCATTTGTTTTAATGCGCCGCGTAAATTCATATTTTTCCTGCAAACTGCCCGCTGTAACGCGACGGCGCTCTCTCCGTTGACGGATAGGCGAGTTTCGCGCGCGAGGAACGCGCGAGAGAAAAAACGAAGTGGCTCGGGAGGCCTCTTTTATGCACGCGATTACTGCCGTACGTGGCGCGGCAATTGGCATTGTGTCTTGACAAATGGCGGCAAATCGTTTTACATCGCGTCACGAACGCATATCGGGATACTTTTATATTCACAGAACGCGCGGCGACCGCTCATATATATGCGAGAGACCACGGTTGATTATTATTCTTCAATTCTCCTCGATTAGAAATTAATTTTGAGGATACATATTATGAAATTCGCATTAATAATTCATTACTTAATACGAGCAGGAAAGTAAAGGGGACAAAGTGAAAGAGAAAGCGGCCTTTTAATATACATGTCACTTTCTTCGTTGCTCGAATTTAAAATATGCGATGAATAATTGTTCAACGCGTGTATTATTAACCTAATGCAAATTGTAAACTCGCGCTCGTAATTTTGCTCGCAAAGCTGGTCGGTGGATAAAAGAGAAAATTTAAAACGCTGAAAGAACGCGTCCGCCGCTCGAGTTCGATCCGATCGAGAGAATTTCGACGCGCGTTTCACAGGGGTTATTTCTGTTCGAATTTTCACAATGAACTTGGAACGTTTTGTGTCACATGACCGAAAATTGATTGCCCGTTATGCGAGACAGATGAAACCGATGCGATAAATATTTTTGATGGGATTTTTCGTGTCTGTTTACACGCTGTAGATGTGGGGAGAAAAACACGAAGGAAGAGGCAACGAGAAAGACAGAGGAAGAGCGAGAGTGTGCGCGCGTGTGTATTTACGTCACGCGGTATTACACGCCGCGATAGAATGCCGAAAATTCATGCGGCGTTACTTTCGCCGAAAATATTAATTTTACTGCGGTGGGATAAATCTTGGCGCGTCCGAAATAATTTTTCCACTGCCGAAAAAAGGCACGTCCGTTTCAATATCGAATAGTGATAACCGGCTGCGATAAAAATGCCCCACGGCCGGGATAACGTGGCCTGAAAATTAAATTCATTAGTTTCCGCGCAACAAATGTATTTCCGCTCATGCGACTTTATTATTTGCCAAATAAATAAATTGCCGCAACTTGAAATCGCGCTTCCCGACGGAGCCTGATTTTTTGCGTTTTTTACCTCGGTAACGCACGCCAATATTTTATTTATTCCTTCGTGTGGCTTCGTTTATTTATTCGTTCGTGCGTAACCGCACACGCATAACTTATGCATCAGCAAAATAAAAATCACAGATGTCGCGACACTTTGTCGAAAAATGGCCACGCGAAAAAGGAGTTTATTAAGTTATATTTAAAAAATCAGGAGGTGAAACTAGTAAAAATTCGTGTTTTTACTCCCGTTCTAATTAAGATAATTAAATGAGTTAACAAATATCAACCGCGAGGTATGATTTCTTGACAAACTCGCAGATATACCGCGAGTTTTAAAAGTGATGTATATCAAAGAGCGGAGATATGGTGCCTGCAATTAGAGCGATGCGCGATAAGTCAAGAAAAATGATGAAACGAGGAAATAATAGAAATTAATTTCGAAAGTCTCTCTCTCTTTTTCTCTGTCTTCTTCTCCCGTTTTCCTTTGCCTTCTCTCTCTCTCTCTCTCTCTCTCTCTTTCTCTTTCTCCTTCTTTCTCCCTCTTGTCCCTGTCCGACGACCGTGATTTTCCGTCGGCGCGGTGAAAGAGCGGAGGATCGATCGCATCTCCGCAATATAATATCTCGCAAAGATATCACCTCAACGAGTAAGATTTATCGCGGCGAAAGTTTAATTTAATTTCGACTTTCTCTCTCTCTCTCTCTCTCTCTCTCTCTCTCTCTCTCTCTCTCTCTCTCTCTCTCTCTCTCTCTCTCTCTCTCTCTCTCTCTCTCTCTCTCTCTCTCTCCCCCTTCGGTTGCTCTCATTTCCTGCCTCTCCTCGTATCTCTACTGCGCGTCCGCATATTATTTCTCCGAGGCGCCGGATTTCGAACTTTAATCCGCCCATCGTGCTCAAGACTCGCGCCCAAGTTTTCGTCGTATTCGATATTACACGACGGTTTTACATCGATCGTCGTTTCCCGGATTCGAGGGAAGGCGCGTCTGGTGAGAGAGCAGGTGCGCGCCAACTCGACCGATCTCTCTCGCTCGTCGTTGATTAAGAGCGGCAGATTCCGCCAAGAGCCTAATTTCGTCCTTCCGCGATTCTCAAGGTGCTCTTAATTTTTCACGCGATAACCGTTTCGATCTGGCGATAGATTATGCGCGATATACGTGAGACGAACTTCCATTTCGCGGAACGAAGCTCTCAAAGCAAAGGAAACATCGAACATTTAGTCGCATCAAAGGCTCCGATTGCGGATTTGTTAATTTATAGGCTCAGAATCCATGAAGAGCTCCAAGAGAAGTTTGGCCTGACTTTTATTTTGTGTCTCTGAGCACTTTCGGGATATCGAGGATTTAGTACTGCGTACTTCCTATTAGCTTTCCGTCAAGTATTAAAAAAAGAAAAAAAACTGAAAAGGTCGCGTCGTAAATCCAATATTTAAACTTTCTTGAAAGCAAGCAATCTCATGCGTGGTTTTACGGTTGACGTATCATTCGAGTAAAGTGCGGATTACGCGGTAATCCCTGCGGGAGAATTTTCGGATAAAATACACGCTTGGAACTTTATGCGGCGAAAACTTTCGACACCCCCTATTTCCACATTCAAATATGCTCTCTGTGTAACGATGACGCGCGCATACCACGTGTCGTAATTACATGTTTGAACATTTATCGCGACGAAAGCGCGAGCGAGATAATCGCGTACGCGACGCGAAACGCGGAGGATATTAGCGTTTGTCTCACGTACGCACGTCGATTCTTTGCCGAGATGCGAACTCTCAAAGTTTGCCAAGTTCTGTAAAGTCGACCGCCAGCGTGCGAGCAGCGAAAATACGCTCGACAAGAAAAAGAGAGCTGCGCGACATTGTCGACGACTTTCTGACTATTCGGCCGCTCGTCGCAGTATCTTCACGCAAGAAAGCCCTGGCCACGTGAAACACAATGCATCAGAAATAGCTCTGAAACTGTTTCAAAAGTTTCAAATTCAACTTCTCGATAAAAAATCGACCCGCGCAATTCCAGTTTTGATTTAAGAGGACTGGAGAGTCAGATTATTGAAAAATCGTGCTTGTTGTTTGATAATGATTTTGTGACGAACTGAATAAATGTGCAAGAATGAAAATTTTATATATATCTATATAACATATGAAGAGTAGACAAATTTTGTCTTTAAACAAATACTCATATAAATATACGTCCACTTAAATTTTAAACGCGTTTTTCTCGAAATTTTATTGTTCAACTTTTTGCAGTGATTTCTCCGAAACCGAGCTTCATATCGATTTGAAATTTTAAAGCAATAATATTTGTTCATGTGGCTCTCAGGTGAACCATGGACAATTCCGTCAAAATATTTCATTTCGAGATATTAATTTTTTCATTGTAGAAGAACTGAAACATTTGAATTTTTTCCTAATAATAGTTGCCATTTTGTTAATTTTGTTCGATTTTTTTTCTAGTGATTCACCGGATAATGATTAAGCCTCCTCAAGATTTCTAGCTAAAATTCGCTCTGATCGGACCGCCGGGAGCCGAGATATTACTGCAAAAACGATAACTTGAAAAAAAAAGGAGAGTATACTTCAGCTATATACATCGTATATTTATACGAGTATTTGTTAATAAACAAAATTTTTCTACTCTTCATATGTTGTATAACTATACCTAAAATTTTCATTCTTGCACAGTTATTCAGTTCGTCACAAAATATTATCAAAAACAAGCACGAGTTTTCAGCAATCTGACTCTCCAGTTCCCTTAAATACATATGTAACATACCAGCATATTTGCTGGTGTTGCAAGAAAATTGCATTGGATACGACATCTAAACAGTGACCTGTAAAATCTTTGGTCACTCTCTCAGCCAACATTAGGAGTTTTCACAAGTTTATCCGATCGCTGATTTTGTTAATAGTAGAGCTTTGCGTCAAGCCTGACCTTGACGCGAAGGGGTCAACGGAAGAAATGTGGCTAAAGATTCCACGAGCTTCTTTCCTTTCGTAAATAATAAAACTTTTCGTTTGTTATGGTATGTGGCAATGAATTATAATGTAATTATAACGTAAAGGAAAATTTCAAACTTAAATATTACGCGTCGCATTTGCGTGAATATCCAGTTGCTCGTTGAGATAACGGCCTAATATCGGATGACAAATTTTCAAGCGATGATTGATAGCCGCAAATCGGCCAAACATTGGCTCTCTTATAACATTCCGCCCGCCTCCGAGTGGAAATACATAGCTGACGGACTTTGAAACTTCGACCCTAAATATATGTACGGATCGCGTAAAAATCGGTTTGCAAAATGCGAATGGGATTTACACAGGCCGCTGCTTGACACCACTCCAAGTC